AATAAACCCAAGATTTTTTGGTGGCTAATTAACCCAAATATCTAAGTTTTGGGTTAATAACAACATCTAATTTTGTGTGCTAAGTTTCAATAGTTTATGCGTGTAAGCAACAAAAAGGGGCTGGAAAACGCCCAACTAACCACAGCAGCAGGAAATCAAACCAAATAGCCAATTTACTCAGTTCAAAACATTTAAGTCATCAACCTATAAGAAGAACTCGATCACTGTGGTTGTGGCAAGGGGAGGGACCAAGAGAGAAAGGAAGGTTCCTTATATAAACCTCCTCACACTCTTAACTCATCAGAGTGTATAGAATTTTATCCCAAATAGATTACACCTCTTTACAATTAATCTCATACTCAAATTGGGAGTTTTATTAAAAACAAAACATTAGAAAATTGTGCCCGATAAATTACTTTCAATGGAATTACAATTCTAACAATGCCATCTCAAAAGATACATCAACCCAACAATCAATACTAAAAAAAAATATTACCAAAATTATCTCAAATCAATCTTGGTCATCCAAGCAATGTATCAAGATTTCAACTAATCTCAGCCAATCAAGTAATGTACCAAATTTCTAAAAAAATTAAGCCAAATAAAATGTTGTACAAATAACAGTTAAAATTTGGGGTGTCAAATTGTCTCCATAAAACCAATCAATTAATTCCAACTGATGAATCAATTTTTTGTGCTATGGTCAATTTTTTGGCTAAGTACCTCGTCATTTGATCTGCTTTCAAGTGGCCGATGACTCAGGCGGAAGTGAACTTTGACTGTTGAGCTAAGTCAAGCTAGGCAAGCTAGGTGGCGAGCTGACTATAGTGCCGAGCTGCCTATAAGGTTTTGAGCTGACCAGGTGGCGAGCTGCCTGTGAGGTGCCGGGCTGACCAGGTGGCGAGCTGCCTGTGAGGTGCCGGGCTGACCAGGTGCCGAGCTGCCTGGGAGGTGCCGGGTTGACCAGGTGTCGAGCTATCTGGGAGGTGCTGGGCTGCTTGTGAGGTGCCGGGTTGACCAGGTGCCGAGCTGCCTGGGAGGTGCCAGGCTGCCTGTGAGGTGTCGAGTTGACCAGGTGCTGAGCTACCTGTGAGGTGCCGGGTTGACCAGGTGCCGAGCTACCTGGGAGGCGCCGAGCTGAATTGATGAGCTACGTTGCTCTTTAGCGACCTGCATGGAGCTAAATGTCAAAGGACCCAAGGTGACTAACCCGGCGATGTCGCTCCGATGCTTAAGTTAGTACTCTCATAGTAAATTGCGAGCTAAAAATCACACAGTATGAGAGTTAGAATTTGCTTACTTGCTTGCTTGCTCGCCTCCTGTCATTGGGATTGGTGCCTTTATATAGGCCTTGCTTATGTACCGCCCCCGAGATCTCTGGGAGGTCGTGTCTAACTAGTCCGAGATCCTCAGAGGTAACTGCCATGCACGTTGATCATTTTCTGGAACGAGGGCCAACCTCCAAGGATCGTGGGGTATGCATGCCGAATTTGTCGACGAGTACGTCTCGTAGGTCGCCAGGTTGGCGCCTGTGCCGAGCCGCCAGGTTGGACACCATCAACTTGGCAAGTTGTTGCTTGAGTTGTTCCGAGCGTCACCTAGTTGTTTCTGAGGTGCCATGTGTCACAATGTCATTGGAGGGCAAAATCCGCCCTCATCAATTGCCCCCACTCCCGAGCTGAAAGTAACTCGGCGAAGGGAGTAGATTTCTCCTTTTGGCTCGAAATGAATAACTCGATGAGCTCGTAAGCGTCGATTCAATTCCTTAGGCTCTGGGAGTGACTCGCAGTCCGCTCCTTGATTTTGCCCATGCTGAAGAGGCGACTGGGTCTTATATGGTGAGGAGGTCTTCACTAGTTCGGTATTTTGGCCCTTAGGCTCTGGGAGCGACTCGTAGTCCACTCTCCTTGATCTTGCCCATGTCGAAGAGGCAACTGGGTCTTATGTGGTATTTTAGCCCTTAGGCTCTGGGAGCGACTCGCAGTCCACTCTCCTTGATTTTTTATTTTGCCCATGCCGAAGAGGCGACTAGGTCTTATGTGGTACCGAGGTATTCGCCAGTTCGGTACTTTAGTGCTATGGCTACACTGCATCAGCCTCGTGACGCCGGTCACCCACTCCTACAAGAAGCTACTAGGAGCTCGACCTACCGGGGCAGCACTACTGACTTTAGGTCGCCAGCTTGCATGGGAGCCTTGGAAGGCTCGACCAGCAAGGGCGTCCATGCAGTCCGTTGGCCGCCAACTCCTGGGGAAGCCACGAAGAGCTCATCTTTGTAGAGGGGACCTCGCGAAGAGGACTGATGAGGCTTTATCCGAGTTGAAATAAAATTGGTAGAGCTGCTTAATCTGTTAGCTATCAACTTCCTGCATAGTCTTTGAGTTCATAAAAAATGGAAACTATAAAGCGAGAGCTTTAGTTTCTAAAAAGTGAGGACTTAGCTTTCTAGAAGAAGAGGATTTAGCCTTTTAGAGGATGCGAACTTAGCTTTTTGTAGCATTTCCCATAGACGGTGCCAATTGATGAATCAATTTTTTGTGCTATGGCCAATTTTTTGGCAAAGTACCTCGTCATTTGGTCTGCTTCCAAGTGGCCAATGACTCAGGCCGAAGTGAACTTTGACTGCTGAGCTGAGTCGAGCTGGGCAGGCTTGGTGGCGAGCTAACTATAGTGTCGAGCTGCCTATAAGGTTCCGAGCTGACCAGGTGGCAAGCTGCCTGTGAGGTGCTGGGCTGACCAGGTGCCGAGCTGCCTAGGAGGTGTCGGGCTGCCTGTGAGGTGCCAGGTTGACCAGGTACCGAGCTGCCTGGGAGGTGTCGGGCTGCCTGTGAGGTGCCGGGTTGACCAGGTGCCGAGCTGCTTGGGAGGTGCCGGGCTACTTGTGAGGTGCCGGGTTGACCAGGTGCCAAGCTACCTGTGAGGTGCCGGGTTGACCAGGTGCCGAGCTGCCTGGGAGGTGCCAGGTTGCCTGTAAGGTGTCGGGTTGACCAGGTGCCGAGCTACCTGGGAGGCACCGAGCTGAATTGATGAGTTTCGGTGACCTGCATGGAGCCAAATGTCAGAGGACCCAGGGTGACTAACCCGACGAGGTCACTCCGATGGTTAAAGTCAGTACTCTCATAGTAAACTGCGAGCTAAAAATCACACAGTATGAGAGCTAGAATTTGCTTACTTGCTCGCCTCCTATCATTGGGGTTGGTGCCTTTATATAGGCCTTGCTTAAGTACCGCCCCCGAGATCTCCAGGAGGGTGTGTCTAACTGGTCCGAGATCCTCGGAGGCAACTGCCATGCACGTTGACCGTTTTCCGGAACGAGGGCCAACCTCCAAGGATCGTGGGGTATGCATGCTAAATTTGTTGGCGAGTATGTCTCACAAGTCGCCAGGTCGGCGCATGTCCCAGGCCGCCAGGTCGCGCTGGGCCAGGCCGCCAGATTGGCGTCTGTGCCGGGCCACCAGGTTGGACACCATCAACTTAGCAAATTGTTGCCTGAGTGATTCCAGGCATCACCTAGTTGTTTCTGAGGTGCCATGCGTCACAATGTCATTGGAGGGCAAAATCCGCCCTCATCACCAACCATATAAATGATACACCAATATTAAGTTAAAATGCATTGGTCTTAGAAAACCACTCTTAATAACTCAGATCTATTGACTTGGATTGATCTTAGGAAATCACTTTCATTGGTTCAGATCCATTGACAACCAGCCAAAGACCTTATCACATGGTTAACTAGTACATTTGTTTACATTGCTCCTTGAAATGCTCTTCTGATGGTTGATAATAAAATCACACTACCAATCTCCCCATGAGAAGTCTAAGATTCTCTTAGCTGGTTAACAACTTAACATGGTTCTTTTTTGTAGAGTGTGTGTATAGTTCTTTGTTTTTTTTTTCAGAAATTCCTGTTAATATTCAGATAAGATGTAATTTTTTTTCCAAATTTTAATATGCCACATCAAATTGGTGATTCAAAATCATGGTTTAAAATCACATTTCAATATCACCCCTTCCCATGAACACCAATGCTTGATCATTGCAGCAAAACATTGTGTAATATTTCCATTTTTTCCCTGATGTGACAAGTCCGTGAAATGGTACATTTGTGAAACACATCAATGCCAAACAGATCCCAAATCGTCTATGTTTGGAGTTTGGAATTTTCCTTAAGCCCCATGTGAAAAGTGACCTTAATTTTCTATTCATATGTTGTCTCAGTCCTCTTTATTTTCTTTCCCTAGTGTTAGGGCACATACCATGCAAGTGATGCTATATAATCTATTCACCTTTTGTCTCCCTTCTCTTTATTTTCTTTCACTAATACAAGGGCATATATCATGCGCGTGATGCTATATAATCGAATTTAACTTTTTATAACTTTCACCAAAATCAAGGCAAATATCCGCTTTATAATAATATAAATTAAATCGTTGTTATTTCTAATCCAATTTAGAACATCTCCCTTTGACAGCAAATTCCATTGCAACTTATTTGTATTAAGTGCACCGAATTAAATCAAGAAAGATTGTTTCACCCAAAGTTCAAAGTATCGATACATATCAGCCCATATTGGTTGATACATATCGTATTGGGAGCTTCTCGATACGTTCCTACAGAGAATGTATCAGGGTTTTGACCGGTCAGGGGATGGATGGACCTTAAACCGGCCCCTTTGAACTGTATTTGAAAAAAAAATTATCGATACGCCTCTACCGGCATATTGGGCGTATTGATATTTTGAACCTTGTTTCACCACGGGAGTTGATTTTTGTAACCAATAATTCCATTCTATTGAGATGGCATGATTTGGTGTGAGTTGAAAGGAAAATACATGTCAAATCCAAATGCAAAACGATCCAAGGCAGTGATGAGGAATAAGATGCTAAACTTGTAGGAAAGGATATCGGATTACTGATTGGTTGTAAGAAAGTACAAAACGAGTCACATTTGTGAAAGGACATCAGAGAAGATATTTTTGGAGTTCTTACCTCAACATTCAATTCGCTCATAAAACAACCTTCATAAAAGCATTAAAAGAATATCTACCATCCCTTTCCAGCATCATAGATATTGTCAAAGAGGAATCCAACAAGACAAATGAGAAAAAAAGACCATCCACCCAATACCGACCAACTTGAAATGCTAATCTGGCCTAAAATAGGCAAGCGTTAAGAAAGAAAGAAAAAAAAATCTATTTCAGTGATGGATACGTCACTGAAATGAGAGACTCTTCTTGCATTTGGACCGTCTAGTTCAACTGAATCCATTTCAAACTATGGAATCTCCAATTGAATTATCATGTTCACCGCTTTAACCCATGGTTCTAGCTTCCAATCATACTTGTGGTGAAGAATGAAAAAAAAAAAAAGTGGAAATCACACCACCAGCCCGATTAATACAATCACAATCACAAATAATGGTACAAAACACTGCTTAATGGGGTTTCCACCTTAAAGATGGTCCATTGGTGTAAAGGGAATAATAGATTTGGTTTTAGAAACTCGGTATCCTATGAAGATAGACAGACATAAGGAGACCACAGATAAAAGAAGGGCGAATGCACTGGCAGCATCCCAAGAGCTTCCTGAAGTTGAAGCCACCTTGTTAAGAACAGAACTTCCAACAGAAATATCAAGTGGTACCCAATCACAATTGATGGAATAATGTGCAGACCCATGCCACGGGTTTCCGTCAACTGGGTACCAAAAGGCCACTGCTAATTTGCTTGTTTGACCAATTGTGAACTGAACATCCTGCATACATAGAAGAAATTAATTGATTTTATTTCATAGCTTGGACAAGTTACTATTTCAATTGAAGCACACATTTTATTTGAAAGAGGTGAAGCTCAAAATTGCTATGATTAGACAGTTTTAGTATGATTCCTTTTTGATCCTTGACTATGGTTGCATATGGTGTCATATATACCATTCTTTTGAGGAGAAAAACCTTCAAAACAAACTATTTTAATCAAAGCAGATTTCGGCACTAGATATCAGACAGACAAAGGAAAAGTAATGCTTTTTTCCAACTCTTTTTCATTTACTCCTTTAGGTTTCAATATATTTACATGTTTTGGTGCTTGAAATGCAAGAATATGTTAATCACTTGTTTTTGCTTGTATAGGTAGATCCATCAACTTTCCTTAAGAATTGAAAAAAAATAAAAATTACAAAAATAATTTATTTATCCTTATGTTTTGCATGATTTCCATGGTAGGAAGTAACCATAGGATGGATCTATAGATCCATCAACAATTCATATAAAAAATTGATTTATTTTCTCAAATTTTAATAATTTATAGAAATAAAAGTAAAAAAATATAAAAATTAATTTAGTAACTAAAATTTATTAGTTGTACTTGCCCATGATTTATGTCAAATTTATTATTTATGGATAGTCTTTTACTTTTCAATGGATCTCTTAATTTATGGATATTCTACCATTCTCATGGATCTAATACATTTTTTAGATACAAGACTATATATATTTCCATGATTACTAATTATTAATTTAATTTAAAACAAAGAATGACATATTAGTGGTGTAATACATGTTGTAATTCAAAACAGTTTATATAATGATTAACTAAAATGCAAAAATTAAGTTGACTTTATTTTTTGGGATGAACATTAGGTACTGGTCTTTTTAATTGGGCAATTTAATGTATTATTTACTAATTATTTATATATATTTGTGCAAAAAAATGGCACATGTTAAGTCTATACCCAGTCCACTGCTCCCAAGACCCCATGAAGTTATTATATGATACCTGTTATTAGGAATGTTATTAGGACTGTTACTGGGCCCTTAGTGGGCTGTTAGTGGGCCTGTTTTATGTGTCCTCTCTGTTAAGTTGTAATCGGGGGTATTCCTGTAATATCCCCTTTTTATTTGAACACCCTAATATATAAGTCAAGTGGGGTGCCGCCCCCAACACTTTTTTGGCAATCCTTTCTCTCTTCTCTGCTCTCTTCTTCTCCTTTTTTTCTATTCTAGAATACCTATATGTCTCATATTGCTAGCCATATACTACTTTGCACACACTATTATAGTATGTTTTTTCTTATTTATAGTCATTTGAGCCTTAAATTTAGTATTGTTGAAGTATTTGTGGGATTTCTGTGAGTTCCCTTAGCACATATGTGCATATCCTAATCATTCCACTGTATCTAGTATTTCTTAAGACCCTTCCAATACGACCCGTAAAAATTCCCTTTCCATTGCTATTTGTGATATCAATACTTTGAAGTTTGAACCTTGCACTCTTGCAGCAAAGCAAGGACTCGTGTTGTTGAAAGCATCATGACTTTTCAGTGTGGCAAGATGTGAGGTAACAAATTGCCCTAAAAAATGTAGCTGCATATGGTAACAAATTGGCCTCAAAAAGTTTTTTTTTTTTTTTTTGCTGCATTTGGCCTCAAACAATTAGCAGCATAATTTGGATTAATCGCCAGTTAAAATCCTGATCACATGTGGTGAAATATATACCTGCTGGAGATGGTCCATAGTTCTCAAAGGCCTTGAGAATTCAAAGTAATATTTCCCTTTCTGACCAGCAGATGCATAAGGGCCGTCTTCCTCCACAAAACCTGCCCAAAGTGTTACAAATGCTATTTATATTTGGAGACGAGGTGCTGATCTACTAAGTTATGTAATAAATAGACTTCACTGCAGGAGAATAATAAATAAATAAATATAAATAAGAAATGCACTAGCCCATACTATTCATGGTCTCAGGTTACTACCATCACTGTCCACTCAGAATTATGAATTATCACACACCTGGGCCCCATATGTTGTTCATCATGGACTATGATGGCAAAACCATATGACCATGAATCAATTTGTTCAATAAATAAACCTCATCGATCACAAGAGGGAATATAGTCCAAGAAACAAAATAACTGATCAGAAAACTCTATAGATCCTTTTGTCAAGCACTTATTTCCTTTCTATCCCCTCAATTGGATACTAAGAATGCATAACAAGTATGAATTTCAGGGTAGCTAGCAGTTGAACTACCAGCTTTGGAAATCTGTATGTGAAAAGGACTAAGTTAAACATGGAACAATAACAGAAACAAAACATAGAGGCGATTACCTGAGTGCACACCAAAGCTGTCATGCCACCATGCCCCCTGCCAATTATTCTGTGCACTAGAATCATTACCTGGAATTAAAAAAAAATAAAAGGAAAAACCATAAAAAATGGATGTCATGTGAATGTTTGCTGGCCTACTGGATGAATATTAATTGTACATGTGGATATTGAAATCCACTAGGAAGTTCATACCTAAAACTAATAATCATTTTTACATGTCAGATAATTGAAGACGGGTACTGAAACAGGCACTTTTTCAGCAGTCCAAATTCTAGCGCCCAATCAAATCATTAAGGTGGTGTTTGGCATGACTGCATTTATAACTCTTGCATTGCATTAGTTTGGAGGAATTAGGCACTTTTTTTGGGATGTGTTTTCTAATGCCTGTTATGCCTCAAACAGCAAGGCAACACAGTGCCTAGAATTTCATGGTGGGTGTGTTGGAAGAAACAATTTTTTTTTTTGATATTTTGAGAATGTGAGGTATTGCTAAGCGGGGTTGCAGTGAAAAGGGAACCACTAGAGCACAAGAAATAAGATTATAATTGCATCATTAGTTATACATAATAGAAGCAGAACACTTTAAATGCCATGTCAGCATTGTCTTTAGCAAACAGGTTTTTATTAGAAACATTGTCAAAACATTTATAATGTAGAATAGAGTTAGGTATTGGATGGTCCTTAAGAGGCCTCCATTAAGCTCAATATAGTTCAACAAGGAATAAAGATGGGGCAGATTGGTTCTAGTGTATCCTCACTTGGTGGTATTACTTAAAATTTATGGTTTTTTGTATGGATTTCACCTTATGGATATTGCACAGTAGCAGGTGTCATCATTCATAAAGGGAAAAATAGTTGGGGAACATAAAGCTAAACATTGGACCTGAGACGCAGGAGACATAACTGTCCACCTGTTCAATGTTTCAATAACTGAGTCACTTTAGGATTGGGAGACATTCAATTTTTGTTTCTGATTCTTGATACCAAGACATGAAGCAATTTATGAGGGGCCCACCGCCCCAGATCTGTATACCAGGCTAGACTCATCAGTTCTCTGTCTCCAGACTCTAGATGTTCCCCAGAACATAATTAAAAGAATTATCTCCAGACTCTAGATGTTCCCCAGCTCTCTGGTTAGACCATTGGGCTGGTGACAGAACTCTACAAGAGTTATTCCCAGCCTCGTATAATGTGGCTGTAGATAAGGAGGCATTAGTGGCTGATTCTCTGTTGTTCTTCCAGGAGGGTAGGCTATGTTGGGTTCCTCCCTTTAGGAGAAGTTTTAATGACTGATTCAGAAGGTGGCAGACTTTCTTAATCTGTTACAAGACCAACAACTAAATTTTCAGATGCAAGAATCCAGAGTATGGAATTGGTCAAAATCAGGAGGTTTCTCAGTCAAATCTTTCTACAATTTTCTAGTGGGAGGTCTGATGTCCCTTTTCACAGTCAGGCCATTTGGGGGAAGTTGGCTTCTCCAAAAGTCAAGTTTTTTGTATGGCAGCTGGAGAGGTGTTTGTCCAAAGAAATGCTGCTGAAAAAAGGTCTTAATTTGTCAAATCAGAGGTGCTGTTTTTGCAATGTGCAACAGTGCAAGTAGAACCCTCTGGGCATCTCTTCCTTCATTGCACGTTTAGTTCTGCAGTTTGGTCTCACTTCTTCAAATTCCTGAATCTAAGCTGGTGCATGCCAGCCTCAGTTAGAGCTCTGTTAGAGGAATGGCATATTCAGGGAATGTCTAAGAAAGGAAAGTTATGCTGGACTTCCATCCCTCCAGCAGTTCTGTGGGCTGTGTGGTCAGAAAGGAACAATAGGATTTTTGAAAAAAAAAAATCTTCTACTGAAGCCGAGGTCATTATTTTGGCAATAGAGGTTTTGAGAAGTTGGATGTCTATACATACCGATTTTAGAGATAGCATTTCTGATTATACTTTTTTGAGGTCCTTCATTTTGTACAGCTTCTCAATGTACACAGGACCTTTTATTAATACAATCATACTTTACCTTTTCTCAATAAAAAAAGTTAAGGACTTTATAGACTGGCAGATGCTTTACTGAGAGGAGTAACAAAGGCTGATAAGGCCGATCAAGATTGGGGGGTACCTGGTCCGAGGATTAACATCACTTCTGTGTACTTTTTCTCATAATGATATGTCAGCCACAGGCTATTGTACTTGTACTCTACAATCCAATCCCTTTGTAGTCTAGGGGTTTAACTCCTTTCTTGATTAACAAATTTCTTTTGATTTCTGTTGCTAAGGCTCCGTTTGGGAAGAGTGCAAATGCCAGTTCAGTGCATATATGCACCCAGGTTCCGTTTTGCTAGTGTTTGACAAGAATACATTTGTGCATTGACAATGACAGAAAACACAATTTCTAAGGCATGCTTGCACCCAAAATGAGAGGGAATTTTACATCAAAAAAATTGATGTACATTTGCACTCAAAGTTGATCAAATGTTAAAAAGGCATATTTCTGCCTTGGGATTCGTGTTTGCATCCATTACAACTAAAGTTCGTTTGGCAAGAAAGTAAATTTATCACTGCAAAACTAAACCAAATTTGCATTTGCATGGACCAGAATGTACTCTGCATATTTGCATTTGCACTCTTCCCAAACGGAGCCTAATGCAAAAAAGTAAATAAATAAATAAAAGTATTTTGTAGATCAGTCAATCCTTCACCCTTATTCTGATGGATCAATCAACCTAATCTCATAACAGAGTTGATGTTTCTTTGTAGGATCTACAACAGGTCATAACCCAACAATCATTCAAACACTCAACCGCCAGTATAAATCTTGACTGCTCTACACTGGAAGGGAAAAAAAATGAGCTTGTAATTCTTGACAAATAACTTATGCATCAAAACCAGGAAGATACCTGAAGGACTAAGGCCATCAAGATACCGACAATGTGGGTTCCAGGCATATAAATCAACCAAATGACCAAACCTGTTAAAACAAAACCCAAATATGTCAAACAAAAGTCAATTCAACAAATTGTGTGGCTCCATTTATAGAGCTAAGTAAGAAATGGATGTAGCATATTGCCTGTCGCCTCCATTTCCATCTCTATTATCTATCGGATTGCCACCATATAGTCGTCCTGGAATAGCATTGCCAATTGAGAAGTGCATAATGTCCACTTCATGGCCTCGGCAAGTCCTATTAGTGCATGTATCTGTTGACTGGTCACACCCACCCATCTAGTACAATGAAGCTACTTAGTTCAATGTTAGAGGAGAGAATAAAAGGCATAATAAGAATGAAATGCTCAACCTAAGATAAGGTACTTTGCACCTAAGGTGCTAAAAATACTTACCCTATGATATGAGGCATTTTCACCAACTTGAAACATGAGAGAAACAGATGGGCATTTTTTATTGTTACTGCATTCCATAATGAAAAAAAATATATATCAGCGCTATATTAAGAATTTTAAGCATTTAAAGGAAACATAACCTTCTTTTTCTTGTTTATAGACAACAAGCAAACTTTGATTTTTAACATGAAATTTGTAATGTCAATTGTCAACTAGCAAGTAAGCATCAATAAGTAATGTCAACCTTCTAGTTACCATCAATAACCTCCGAAGATATGTGCACAAAGTGTTGTATATTTGCGGTGCCATCTATAAATTTTAGATTGAGCTTCCTAACTATTGCTACAGTATAGTTCAACTTGGGCTAGACAAAAAGAAGCAACGTCAAACAAACTAAGAAAAAAACTGAAAACAAAAAGTGCAATGGATGCAAATGTAGAGAGAAGGGTCGATCTCTTGTTTCCTCCCTTAAAAGTTCTCCTAAAATCACATCTAGGCATGGAGTGGTATCTCTACTCAAAAAATGCGTGATCCAAGAGACAAGGGCTGATCTCTTGGATCTAATCACCTCATATTCCAGTTGCAGGTGCATCAAGAAATGCGTGATCTTTCTTATATCAAAATGGTCTTTTATCACCTTGACACAACATGCTGTCAAAGATTCACCCATATGAATCAGTTCATACTCTGTCCAGAGATTCACAAAGCCTGGATAATATTCCTGAATTTTCTTCTCTTCTTGGCTATAGGAGAAGATCTCGGTCTCTATTTGATACTGTTTGGAAATATTAGATTGTTAATAAACTTTCTCCATGTACTCAAACATCTTTTTTCCGTCTTCAGGCCCTTCGTTGGAATAGCTATATCAGTATCAATTGATCATAGAATCCAGGAAACAATTTGGCACCACCAATTTTCCATTGTTTAACCCCCTTACTATCAGATTCATTGGGTTTGGGTGAAGAATTATCAATATGACCCCAGAGACCCTGCTCCTCAACAAAACTGGAAGTGGAACTTCCATACAGAGTAATTACTCCCACCAAATCTGATTGCAAGAATATCTCTCTTGTCTGAAGCCATTCCAAAAAAGGAAAACACCAAGAAGGCACACTCCAAGGCAAGAAAAATGGTATTAAAGCAAATAATAAAGGAAAAACTTGCTGCAATCCAACCAAAATCAAACTCAATGATGTAAATAACAAAGAGATGATGAGGTTCGGCACTGAAGGAAACAATTTTCACTAGGAAATAGCTCCCAATATACTAGAAAATAGAGTAGCAGTCCAAAGATGGAAAGTACAGGTTTGAACAAGTCTGGAAGATGGGTTAAAACCCTCCACAGCAACTGGTCCAAGCAACTAATTTGACAATATGAGGAGATAAAATAACTGGGGCAAAGGGGAAGGATCAAAACCTTCAAGAAAGAACCCCAATATAAGAGTTTAAGATATAACAGTCCAAAAAAGGTAAGTTGTAGGCTTGTCAATGATAAGAAAGGGATCAAAACCCTTCAAAATAAATCTGAACTCCAGTCCAAGTGATTGGATAGGTTCTAGAGCCTAGGACGACTCAGAATCTAGGAGCACAAGGTGATTGAATTGAGCAGCTGAGAGAAAAGATAAGAAATCCAACCTGAAAGGCAAAAACCAGAAAAAAATGTTGTGATCATATTGAGCAGAACAACCTTCCAACAATCCTCAAATAGTCTTCGACAATAGGGCTACAAAGCTTGAATATTAATCTTCTGAACTTGAATAAAAGCTGATGTAGAAGACTTGCTTTGATATCATGATAACTAGGGTTCGTACAGGAGAAGAGATAATAGTTTTGGGGGGTGTGTCTTGTTTATCACACGCCCAAACAAGATTATATACTAATGAAATACAAAAGGTGAGAAAGGACCATTGTTGCCTTCTCTAGTTCAAGAAAGAATAAAAGAACTAACAAGATAAATATGCAGTGATATGGTACATAGGATACATAATAAAAGATACTCCCAAATAAGAAAAGCAAGAGATCAGCCCTTCTCTCTACAGCAAAGCTTTGGGAGAAAAGAATATTTGAGAAAGGGGGAGGAATTATAATTGACCAACTTGACTCAATCTCAGGTCCAACTTACTTTGACATCATTCTTCAAGCTCTCATAAAATTTAATATACAAGATACTTCACTATTTAATAAGATACTGAAAGAAAAGAATATGCTTGGTGATTGGAGAAACAACAATATGGTGCCTATATTTAAGAACAAAGGTAATATACAAAGTTGTAATAACTATTGGGGGTTAAACTTATGAACCGAACTATGAAACTTTGGGAGAGAATAACTGAACAAAGATTATGACTTGAAACAAGTATATCAGAGACCAATTTGGTCTTTATGTCAGGGAGATTAACCATGGAAGCATAGTTGTTAAGGCGTCACCTAGGCGACTAAGTGCCCTTGGCTGGGCACCTCACCCAAATGCCTTGACTTATAGCAATTAGGCACCCTTCTAGGCAAATAGGTGCCCACCTAGGCAATAAAAATGACAAGGCGGGCACCTTATAATAATATCATTTATATTGTTGTGTCTTATTAGTATATGTATTAACACATTTTATTATATGCTATATATATATTATTTATACTTTGTTTTAATGTATTATTTTTGAAAATAATGAAATTAATATTTTTATCTTTTAGATGTGATGATTTTCCACATTTTTAGAGGAGATTTAATTTTCTTAATAAAGAGAATTGCTATTTTTTCAATTAATATACATGCTAAATGGTATATAAAACTAGATGACTAGGCTCCCTAGTGTTGCCCAAAATTGCCTAGACGCCTTGAAAACTATGCATGGAAGCTATATTTCTTTTGAGACAATTGATAGAAAAGTTCAGAGAGAAGAAGAAAGATTTTCGTATGGTGTTCATTGCTCTAAAAAAGGCACATGATAGAATTCCTAGAGAGATAATATGGTCGGTCTTGGAAAAGAAAGAGGCTCAAAATAGGTATATAAACCTAATTAAGGATATGCATGAGGGGGCAACAACCCAATGTTAAAACATAGTGGGAGAGGCTTCAGATTTTATAATTACTATGGATCTTCACTAAGGTTCAGCACTTAACTCTTATATATTTGCACTGATCATAAATGAACTAACTAAACATATTCAGGAGGAAGTTCCACGATGCATGTTGTTTGCAGATGACACTAATTAAAGATTAAATGAAAAATTAAGCTTATGGACAAATTCCTTAGAAACAAGAAGTTTTAAAATATGTATCTCCAAGATACACTTAGGATTTTTTTTTATCAATAACACAGAAAAGATTCAGTAATTTAAAAAGTCATGTACAACAAGAAGTTGTGGGCGGACAAGCAGTCTATAGTGTCCCACTAGATACATCATTGCCACAAGCAATCCTAGTGTCAATCCCTTTAATTACAATACAGCCTAAAGGGTAACCCAACAGAAACCCCCGCTAATTAAAACATAGATTGTCTTTGAACTCCTTGTTTATCTAGTCCATCAGCCATGCTATTAGCTGATCTTCTAATCCACCTTATTTGAATCACCATGTATTTAGAAGCTTGTTTGACGTGCCTGAATTCATCCCTTAGTTGCCAACTAATTCCATCCCCTATCTTCAACCAGTTCACCACAGTTTTTGAGTCCCCTTCAACAATCAGCCTCTCAATCCCCATTTCTTTAGCTTTCTCAACTCCAAACACTGCAGCCTTCATTTCAGAAGTCACCACATCACCATGCTGAATAGGACCTGAGAACATGGCAACCAAATTTTCATTCTCATCCCTAATCAGACCACCGATGCCCGCTGGCCCCGGATTTCCCAAACAGCTACCATAAAAAATTTAGTTTCTTCCACCCAGCATCCGGAGGGGACCAGGATTCAATTACAGTAGATTTTCTAGATGCAGTGTTTGCAATTGTTCTCCATGATCTGAAAAACTCATCTATCTTAAAATCAACAAACAATTTTAGTGTTTTCACCCAATGTGCCACCCTTAGAGTTATCACTTCAATCACAGTTTCTTTACTCCTCTCTTTGTCATCAAATATCCTCAGATTTCTTTCTTCCCAAAGTGTCCAAGCAATTGCTGCCCTAGTGCATCTTCTCATGATTTTGCCTCTCCTTTTAGAACACCTGAATAAGTGAGATCTTAAGAGGGATTCCAGATTAATAGGAGGAACCCAACTGCAACCAAACAAAGAGGAAAACCACTCCCAAATGAAGTTAGCAAAAGGACAAGAAATTAAAAGATGAAACACAAACTCACCGTGCAACTTACATAAGGAGTACCAATTTGGGGAGATACACTTAGGATTGGAGACCAAGAGATAACTCAATGTGACCATTTCCGTTACCTTGCTTCAATAATCCATAACAAGGGAGAGATTGAGGAGTATGCCACCAAAAGAAGTCGAATAGGATGGGCAAAATGGAGGGGCCGAGGGGGTACATTTGGAATTTTATGTGACAAGTGAATACCACTTAGATTAAAAGGAAATTTCTATAAAACAGTTGTAAGGGCTATGTTGTATGGAGCAAGAGAGTTGGGTAGTCAAGAAACAACATGTTTAGAAAATGAATGTGGCAAAATGCAAATGCTAAGATGGATGAGTGGAAAAACTAGAAAGGGTAGGATTAGGAATGAAGTTATCTGTAGGAACCTAGGAGTAGCTCCAATAGGTGACAAAATGAGAGAAAGTAGACTAAGATGGTTTGGCCACGTGCATAGAACACCACCAACTGTGTCAGTTAGAAGAACTAATCTAATCTGTTACACATTTAAGGGGCTAGAAGAGATCAGGGTAGAGCAAAAAGGACATGGGTATAAGTAGTAAGAAATGATTTAAGCACTAATAATTTCATAGTGAATATGACTTTAAATAGAATGGATTGGCAAAATAGGATTCACGTAGCTGACCCCATATGGTTGGGATAAGGCATGGGTGATGATGAATTCAATCTTAACTGTCCAAATTCTTTTTAATAAAAAATTCTAACTTTTGAAACCCATCTTCCTAGCATAAGTTGAAATAAAAACTAAGCAGAGAACTTCACAAATATTCATTTGTAAGGAAAATAATACGAAACCGTATACTGCACAAACCTGATAAGAAACACTAGCAATCCATGTAAAACACAAAAAAATAATAAATAGAAACGAATACTTTGACATGAACCATATCAAAGCGAAAGAATTACTTGCCCTTTAGAGTATGCATACTCCCCATCAACTTGTAGCATGAAGAAAATGTCTTTCCCATCGTGCAAAGCCTACAGCATAGACATACCAAAACCAGCAAGCAAACGAAAAATAATAACTAAGATTATTTATTAATTTTCTTGAGAGGAAAGAGAAAAAAGGGGACGTTAGGCACCAGGGACCAAAATCACATACACGAAGAAAATTCATTTATTACATCCCATAAATTAAGCAAGAGATCATTAACACATGGTGAAACTGAAACAGTTGAAAAGCGCAGATTCTCCGAACAAATCGCGGAAAGCATACCTTAACGGTCATCTTCCCGCCTTTATACTCATTTTCCTCATCTGGGTCCAAAGCAGGGAGGAGAGAAAACTCAAACCCGTCAACGTCCTTCCAATCGTCAGCGTGCCCATCAAGTGTGACGATTCCAGGCTTGTAATCCGCCTGGATTGGAGTCTCAGAGTTGGAATCACAACTCCATTCACCACTCTCTTCATGTGAGCTTACGAATACAATCAACGCAGATACGACAATCGCGAGCGCGAAGAAGAAGCGGAGCATGGTTGGGGACGATGTAGTGAAGAGAAATTCAGAAGAAGTTGAAAATCAGTTTTGTAGGGTCTTCGCTTCCTTGCGAGGGGTAGATAATAAGGAGATCTCGACGCGAAGGAAGCCGCCATGACGATTGACGACAGCCCGAATAAATTCGGGCTTGAATTTTTTTTCTATATTGCTAGACTGGACTGCATTATGTGACCATTTTACCCTTGCAAATTTCTAGGAGCTATTTCACACTTTGGCGATTCGACGATTCTTAAAATTTGGGGCTTTGAGGGAAATTCAATGCACAACCCTTTGGAATGAAAGCTCAGGAGACTTGCAGTACCGGTGACTAAAAACAGGAGACCCTGCAGTACAAACGTAACAGGGGGAGGACGACAATTCTACCTAAAATTCTCCGGGTTGGAAATTGCACCCACCGGAGTCCGGAATGACCCGATATCTCCCCACAGCTCACCTCGCACTTGTCACTTGGTCAGTGCTCAGTGGATCTTGTTGGATTTAGTGACTGTTTGGTATCATTTATTTTAATTATTATTTAAATAAGTAATTGAAATGAGTGGAGGGATGTTAATAATTAGGAAAGATAATAGTATGGAAAGAGTTTTGACTAATGAAAATAGTGGCACCCTATTAATTATTCATGTTTGGCAAAAGAAAGTTAAGAATAAATGCTTATTTTGAGAATAAGTGCTTTTGTATAAGTGTTTATACCCATATTACCCCTCTTTATACCCTGTTATCTTCTCCATTCCTGAAAATCAGAGGTGGCTGCGGTGAATCCAGGCGGAGGCACGAGCAGCCGGGGAGGATTTTATGATTTCTGTAAATGAAATCCCTCATTTTTTTTCTTGATTTTTCACTGTTTTTGAGTTGCGATTCTGCTGTGGTGGGTTTTAACCGAATTTTTGCCATTTTCTCCCAAATTTGTGTTTGGGAAAGAGGCAAACATAGCTAACTGGCAGCAGCCTCTTTGGTTGTGAGTTCTACCTATTTTTTCTTATTTTTCCTTTATATATATATTTGATTAACGACAAAAAAACATTTATTATGTTACCAACGTTTTCAAACCGTGGTTGACCCGGATGGTCAGACTGGTCGGCCCGGGAACCGTTCAGGCAACTGGTTCCGTTTTACCCAAAACCTGGAATCTGGTAAAAAATCGTTGAAAAAGTTAATAACCGTTGATTCAGGCGGTCAAATTGTCGACCTGTTCAATGATTTTTGACATTTTTTTATTTTTTAATTATTTTTTAAATTTTTAATTTTACTATTAGAATGGACCCTTCTTTCAAACCAGACGATCGGACCATTGACCTGAAAACTGATGGCCAGAACAATTCCATTTTCAGATCATTTTTTAAAACATTGATTGTTACTACTAATATCATTATTATTATTATTATTATTATTATTATTATTACAAGAAAGTATTTTTTTGTTATGTATCATATTTTTTTATATAAAATAAATTATTTAATAGTGCTATATGGGCCTAGTGTGTCATGACTCATGAGGGTTAGAATTATTTAATAGTGCTATATTGGTCAACTGACTCACCAAACAGTTGAAAGGACCTGCCAAATAAGAATAATTACTTATTTCTCAAACCTCTTATTGATGGGTAATGGGACTACTGCTGCTCCTCCTTGCTGACGATCTGTTGGTAAGGGTGCAACTGGAGCTCTATATCAGATTTATCCAAATCCAAATCCAAATCCAAATAGGGAATGTTGATTTTGGACAATTTTATAATCAGATGTATTAACAGAATTTGAAATTGATTAATAACCCAAAGATAAAAAGTTGACTGAATAGTCAAGTATTCAACCCAAACAAATCAGGGGCCTTCTAAGATGTAAGTTTTTCTTTCCTGGTTATTGTTTCAAAAATAAATATGAATCATTTAATTTGAAAATTATTGTTTCTCGATACAAAAAATACAAAAAAAACATGTTCTTGATTGTGTACGTATTTTTTGTTTACAAAAAACATGTTTTTAACATAATTTTTATGTTAAAAAAACGTGTTTTTATTTTAAAAACATTATTTTGATGATTTTAGAAACATGTTTTTAAAACAAAATCAATTTATTTTTTTCTTTAAAAACAAAAACAGAGTTCAAGAACATTTTATTTTTGCTGATGTGATGATTCCAAAAATAAATCATGAAAAAAAACATTCATGTCGCCAATACTGAAATTCAAACCAAGTTACCCGAATTCATTCACAAGGAACTCCTGGATTGTATTCTTTCAAAATAACATAAACTCTCAGATACAGAGATTTAGGTACTCTACTAAAAATATACATAGATTTATGAAGAATTTTTAGTGGCAATCTGACAAGTATTAAAAAAAAAACTGGAGCAAATTCTGCCTGCATAACACTTGGGGTGGTTTGGGTTTTGGACGTAGTCAATCCATGAACAGGACTATGTTTTGGAAACAAATGTAGACATGCTTATATGCCAAAAACAACCTATATAATCAACTCACGACGGAGAAACATTCACAACAGTTAATTTATTTTCAGTCAAATCTACACCCGGAAGCTCTCAAAAGTGGAACATCCTCAGCTTACAATTTATACTAGTGAAGGGGCCTTGCATTGCATGAACTCATTCATAAATTATTAGGCTCGAGTTCGATTCGAATTAGAGACTTGAGTTCGAGTCAAAAGCTCGAAAATTCGAGCTCAGCTACTTTTGATTACAGGTCTCTCAAGCAATCAAGGTGCCAAGTCGAGGTTCCGAGCAAGGTCTCCCTCAATTGCTGACGTGCCAAATCGATATCTCCCTCAGCTGCTGAAGTGTCGAGCTAAGGTTTCCCTTGCAGGTGAAGTGTTGAGCTAAGGTCTCCCTTAGTAGACAAGGTGTCGAGCTGAGGTCTCCCTCAGTTGCCGAGGTGCTGAGTTGAGATCTCCCTCAGTGACCGAGGTGTCGAGTCAAGGTCTCCCTTAGTGGTCAAGGTGTCGTCTATGTCGAGCTTGATTTGAATTAGAGAATTGAGCTTGAGCTCAAAAGTTCGAGTTCGTCTCGACTCAAACTCGATTACCTTTGATTGCAAGTCCCCTAACACTCAAGATGCTAAGCTAAGGTCTTCCTTAATTGGAGAGAGAGTGGCATTCTTGTAATTTATAAGGACAGAGAGATGGTAGGAGAGAGAGAGAGAGAGAGAGAGAGAGAGATGGGGTCACCAGAATGCCTATTGACAAAAATTTATCAACCATTCAAGCACCCTTTGAGTGTCATCTAATTCTCTTTATCAACCATTCAAACATTGACAAAAATTGAACAGTCCCAAATCCTTGCCTCTTCTATTCAAGAAAGTTGGCATCACCAAAATGCCCACTAAGACGTATCCCCAACTTTCTTGGATAGAAGAGGCAAGGATTTGGGACTGTTCAATTTTTGTCAACGTTTGGATGATTGATAAAGAGAATTAGATGATACTTGAAGGGTATTTGTGTCTTTTCAAATGACACTTAATGGCTGGTTAACAAATTGGTTAACAGGTATTCAATTGACACATTTTGAAAGTTTTGATACTGAATTGTCACATTTTAAAAGTTCAGGGACTAAAATGACACTAGACCCTAAATACAGGATACTAATCAGGAATTTCCCCACCAAGGCATACAATCTATACTTGACCACTAGAAAGTGCATTACGAACAAGCCAATCAAAACTTCCCGAAATGCATGGTGAAAAGTGATACCTAAGATCAAACAAGAATAAACCCAATGACACTCCTCAATGATGGTTAAATCTATTTAAAAATGGATGTGCTCTAATGTATCCTCACTCTACTCTTTCTTGTGTTACTTGGATGTTGAAAAGTAAAAGCCATAAATCAAATTAAAGCTCAAAATTGAAAGTCAAAAATGTTATCTTAATGAAAGTTCATGATCCTTCATGCATGACATGGATATGGGTGTGATGGCAAAGTAATTAGAAATTGAGAGATACTATAATTAATGGAGTAAAGTATCTCTGAATAGTTTACTAATACCAGGCATTCAATTTGTATTTTACAAATAAAATAAAATAAAATAAAGAAAAAAGATCATTCAATTTGTAAGCTCCATTAAATGCTAAGTCAAACTAGACAACTTAACTAATTACAAGATGAATCCTTTTACATGTTTGGTCTAAGAACAATGGTTCTACTCTTTTGAATATGATATATTAGTTTGTGTTTATAGGTATCAGATTTTTTTGTCAAACAAGATCTCTTGCATTGACATGGTTTTCAAAACTGGACCGGATCGGATGGTCGAACCAGAAAAACTGGGAATCAGTCAGGTGACTGATTTTATTTTTCCCCAAAATCAGGATTTTTCAAAAAACCATTGATTCTGATCAGCAAACTACTTATTCGGGCAGTTAACTGTTCGAATAGTTTTGACCTTTTTTTTGTTAAAACGGGCCGATCGTTTGGTTCGAACAATCTGACCATTTGACCCGATAACCAAACCCCTGATCGGTTCAGTCTCCAAGTCGATTTTAAAAACCATGTGCATTGACTCCACTATTCATAATTTTTAGCAGGCCAAAGGGTATTGAATTATTCCTCCAGAACATGGAAAATGATCCACTATCCCAATGCTGCTTACTTGAGATTGGATAAGCTTCATGATTTGTGCCTTTAAAGCCCAAAAGTACACAACCCAATTTTTGGCCTTGGACTTTGTACTTTGGAACTTGAAAAGGATAAGCTTCATGGCCTGAGCCGGGTTGGACCTGTGCTGCGCTGGACTTTGCAATTATATGTATGTATGCATGTATGTATGTATAATTACGTGAAGACTTGATCTGACATGAAAACAAAACCTTTCAAAGCCAGAATTTTTGGATTGGGGCTAAAAATGATCACCCATACTCTCATCCCTATTCCCTACATTGGCCATGGATCTCTCTCTCTCTCATTATTGGACAACTCTCACAACAAACGCTAATTGAACCCATTTAAAAAAGCTTTATTTGGAGAACTTGAGCTCACCACCAAATGTAGCTTTAGAGTATAACATGCACCTGATGATCCAGTAATTACATACAAAGTGGTGGAGTTGGATCCTAGCTAGTTCAAAGGTACCAAAGAATAATGGCTTCTGTTGGAATTTTACCTACGTTATTTTCAGGTTAACAATAAGAAAAAACATAATAATAGTACACCCTAAGAATTTTTATTCCCATCCTATGGTTGGGGTAGGTGCCGGTTAGGAATTAATGCCAATTCATAAGCCGGTATTAGTCTTTGATGTGGTGTTTATCATTTTGAATTATCTAAAATTGCAGTGGAATTCAGAGTTCTGTAGTTAGCTAGAATATATTTTTTCAAATTTTATTTTTGTCGTCAGGAATATTCAAAGTAAGGTGGTTTAGGTGGCATTTGCAGGCATTGGCTGCTTCCTTCCAACATCTCTACCACCTTACTCATTGAAGGCCGACTGGCTGGATCTATCTGTATGCACCACAACCCCACCACGATCATCTTCTTTGCTATTTCCTCGTCACCAAGTTTTTCAATCCGCTCTAGTCTCAGACTGTCTTGTCGCTTAAGACGGTCATAAATCCAATGCGGAAAATATATTTCACTGGTGTTGTTCACTCCCAAATCAAAGTTCTTTCGCCCTCCAACCATTTCCAACACCATCACTCCATAGCTGAAGACATCAGACTTGTAAGAAACACCTCCATTCCCGAAGAAAAACTCTGGTGCAATGTAGCCTGCAGTCCCTCTGGCACAGGCCAACGATACATGGCTTTCTCTCGTTGAACAGAGTTTAGCCAGCCCAAAGTCGGAGATCTTTGGGCAGAAGTCTTTGTCCAGGAGAATGTTATGAGGTTTTATGTCGAAGTGTAGAATCCGCATTGTGCACCCAAGATGCAAATATTCCAGCCCTCGAGCAATTCCGAGTGCAATTTGGTAGAGGTTTTGCCATCCCAGAGGGAATATGGCAGATGGGTTAACGTTTTCAGAATAGATGAACTTTTCAAGAGATCCATTGGGCATGTACTCATAGACAAGGGCTCTCTTTGAACCTTCAAAGCAAAACCCCAGAAGACTAACGATGTTTAGATGGTTTGTTCTACCGATTGAAGCAACTTCATTGATGAATTGATCTCCATTGCTCTTAGAACCAGTCAAGACCTTGACAGCCACGAGACGGCCATCTGTGTGCTTTCCTTTGAACACGGTACCACAGCCTCCCTGCCCTAACTTATCTTTGAAGGATCCCGTCATTTTCTTGATATCTGAATATTTGTATCGTTTTGGAACGAATGCTCCGTAGCTCTCCAGAAATATCTCAATATTTTCTGCATGTTCTATTCTCCTCCGCCGGAAGAAGATGGGAATATTGTTGTAGAATGACAAGAGTTTCTTATAGCGGATGATGCAGTAAAAAAGGGAAGCCATGAGTATCATACCGCCAATAACAAATGCAACTGCAAACAGATTGAGCAAGAGGATTTCAGAATAAAGAGGTATTAAAATGGAGACACGCTTCATGCTTAGAAGTTAGAACTGAAAATTTCTGTCAATGATAATAAGGTACGTAGGAGATCACCTGGGTAACCAATTGCTACTACTAAGTTACGTGAATCTTTGCTCCTAATCAGCTCTGCAGCATATCAAACAGTTAAAATTTAAGAGAGTTGTCATTGATTTTTTTATACGAATCCATGGGATAAAGGACTAAATCACAGGAATTAGAGATTCATTAGACCAAACAGTAGAAATTAGATGAGTTATAAGCTCCTAGAAAGCTTCTAACTTCTAATAAGTAAATAACCCAAAGTCGTACTCATACAGACTCGTGCTTATGCAAGAAAGTGGAAATTTAGTGGGCTTCATGTTCAATGGTTCGAATAGGCCCACGCGGTGGCATGCCTAGACTTGTAAAAATAGGAGGCCTTGCCTTGACGCAAGCTGATTAACTGAGTGCTTTGACTTGGTGATGCTGGACTGAATCGACCCGTTTCTATTTTTTTAACCATTCTTTTGGTAGAAATCTCTATTTGATGAATCGGGGCTCTGGATCAATCACCGTCAGTATTCCACTATTCTGGCTTTTGATGAAAATACAAGGCCCGAGGCCCAACTCGATTGGACAGTTGAGAGTTGAGAGTTGAGAGTTGAGACCTACCCCACTTTTTTTTTTAAAGATAAGACCTACCCCACTTGAGGTCTAGATTCTAGAAACGAGTTTGGATTTCCACTTTTCCGTGGTGAAGGCACCACCGACGAGAACGACATAAACGTGTTTCCACTTTCCATGGTGACTTTTCTGTTTTCGTTGCAGAATCAGAACCAGCGAGACTCCATTCATGGGCGCTGGGTGTAAAGTGTAGAGTGTAGACTCTACAGAAATATATAGGATATAATAGGGAAAATTCTCGATTAATAATAGTGTAGAGTGTAGACTCTACAGAAATAATTTGTACTTTGATTCCTGAATTTTAAAATGTAATAATTTTAGTACCTAAATTTTTAAAATGTGATTATACAGCTGTTAATTAGTTGTAAATCAGCCATTAAGTGGCATTTGAAAAAGACATAAATGTCTTTCAAATATTATTTAATTTTTTTTATTAATTGATGAGGGCGGATTTGGCCCTCCAATGATATTGTGACACATAGCACCTCGGAACAATTAGGTGACACCCGGAACCATTTTGGCAACAACTTGCTTTAGCCAAGTTGATAGTGTCCCACCTGGCAGCCTAACACAAGCATGACCTGGAGGCCTGGCCCAGGTGCGACCTGGTAGCCTAGCACAGGCGCGACTTGGTGGCCTGGCATAGGCACCGACCTGGCGGCCTGGCCTAGGCGCGACTTGGCGACTTGCAAGACGTGCTCGCCGATGAATTCGACAGGCATATCCAAACACTCCCACGATCCTTGGAAGTTGGCCCACATGCCGAACGATCTGGAGGGTGGTCAACATGCATTGCTGTTACCTCCAGGAATCTCGAACCACTTAGATGACCTCACAGAAATCTCGGATATGGTGCATGAAGCCCACGCCAAATAATGCCTATATAAAGGCACCAACCCCAATGACATGGGGGGGGGG